CCCGAGCTTGCCTTGCCGAAACGAAATTCCGATCATTCAATTGCAATTAATATCAGCCTTTGGTAATTAAATGTTCTAGATGTAAGCAATTATATGCCCTCACTTTATTCTCATGTTTGCACAGCTACTGCAAAAGAGCTCTAGTTCAATTGCCAAGCATTTTAAAATGACTTTTTGGTGACTTTTAATGGGTTCAGTCTCTTGCTGTTCTTAAGTTTTAGAAATACACATTCAACAGAGCAAAGAAGCATGTTATAGACGAGTTTCAAATTTCAGTTTCCAGGAGAAATATGAAAATACATGCACATGCATAGTTCCAGATAAAATCAATCGAAAGAATCGTCGAAAGCATTTACCATGTCACCGACGGCAAAACCATTCTTTCCTACAGCAACACCAGTAATCCGTGTTTCTGCTGTTGACTTGAAGATGATAATCTTTGTTTGATCTCTGTGAATTTTGGTCTTTGTAGGGTCGACTTTCAGCGAGTATGCCACCGCCCCCAGTAAAACCGACAGAATCACAGGCGGTCAAGAAGGTGTTGGAAAAGGAGCCCGTGGTGTTGCAGATTCCGATTTGTGGAATCCTTGCAGGGGGCGACCGATGGAGTCTGCACCAAGTTTATGCTTCAATGTCGACGAACCACTGTCCTTTTGTCATTATTAGAGTAAGAGTATATGCTCGTTGCCCCGTGTACTGCCACCAAACTGTCGTGTCTTGTGCACCTATATAACCCTACCAATGAGCTGCCGTGAATGCATCTCAGTACGCTAATGGCCCAAATTGATAATTAGCTTCAGTTCCACTTCTAATTGCAGGTGCTTTCCCCCCCCCCCCCCACCCCTAACTTGGGAAGAATGATCATCCATTGAGTAGCATCAAACGATACGATATTTATCTACAGCTACATTACAGACAAAGGAAAGATTTTTTCAGATAGTCAAAAATTATATCCATACGGATAAATGAATCAGTCTAAAAGTAAAAGGAATTCAAAAAAATAAGCGGAACCAAAAAATAAACAAATGCTTCCAAGCAGTTTCCTTCCGATAAGGCAACAGTCGTTGGAATTTTTTCAACTGTATTCTTCAGTGAGGTATCAGCTACATTGCTCATTTGGAAAGGTTATGCTTTCTGACATTCCTGGCCGCAATAAGGCTGGGCTATTTCGTATTAATGTGCTATGACTTCGATAATATTCTGTTAACAATCGGATCCAGAGGGCTCGGCTAATTGCAGTTTACGTGATTAGTCGCAATTTATTAATTTCAAACCGCTTAAGACCTTAGCATTAGCTACATTCACCCTTCCAGTTACATCACCGATAAGACGACCAGTTTTATGCGAATTACAAAATTCTTACGTTACGTATGAAAGCTGTCTAGGGATTGATGAAGCGAGTTCACAAAATTGGCACCCAAATTACTATTGTGATTGTGATAATTCTAACTAAAGTGCTGTTAGAGAAATATTTGACTTTAAAATGCGCCTTGCTTTGTTCGCGTAAGATAGTTGAAAACTGTGTGAAAATTCCAATTTTGTCTATGCGGCTACCAATGTCATATTCCTTAATTCAAAAAAACTGACCATGTCGAATGTTTTTTTTTGAGGGGAGTGGTGGTGCAGCCACAATCATCAGCAATGTGATGGACTTGAACAATTTTGTAGCGAGCCTCGGTGAGGATATGTCGGAAGATGAAATAAACTACAAGTGAGTCCATATTCATTGCTTGCTGAAAGGCAAATACTTGAAGAATACGCATGGGCTTTGCTCTAAACTCTAATTTAAGTCAGTGGTGGAAATTCAAGATACCTGGTTAACTCAAGGTTATCAAATTTTGTGCGTTAGACAGCTTTGGGTGGAATCGAAGTCATGGTACAACTTGGCAGCAGATCTTAGCCGAATTTCAAAAGAACAGTTCTGATCAAAAGAGCTCTAGTTCAATTGCCAAGCATTTTAAAATGACTTTTTGGTGACTTTTAATGGGTTCAGTCTCTTGCTGTTCTTAAGTTTTAGAAATACACATTCAACAGAGCAAAGAAGCATGTTATAGACGAGTTTCAAATTTCAGTTTCCAGGAGAAATATGAAAATACATGCACATGCATAGTTCCAGATAAAATCAATCGAAAGAATCGTCGAAAGCATTTACCATGTCACCGACGGCAAAACCATTCTTTCCTACAGCAACACCAGTAATCCGTGTTTCTGCTGTTGACTTGAAGATGATAATCTTTGTTTGATCTCTGTGAATTTTGGTCTTTGTAGGGTCGACTTTCAGCGAGTATGCCACCGCCCCCAGTAAAACCGACAGAATCACAGGCGGTCAAGAAGGTGTTGGAAAAGGAGCCCGTGGTGTTGCAGATTCCGATTTGTGGAATCCTTGCAGGGGGCGACCGATGGAGTCTGCACCAAGTTTATGCTTCAATGTCGACGAACCACTGTCCTTTTGTCATTATTAGAGTAAGAGTATATGCTCGTTGCCCCGTGTACTGCCACCAAACTGTCGTGTCTTGTGCACCTATATAACCCTACCAATGAGCTGCCGTGAATGCATCTCAGTACGCTAATGGCCCAAATTGATAATTAGCTTCAGTTCCACTTCTAATTGCAGGTGCTTTCCCCCCCCCCCCCCACCCCTAACTTGGGAAGAATGATCATCCATTGAGTAGCATCAAACGATACGATATTTATCTACAGCTACATTACAGACAAAGGAAAGATTTTTTCAGATAGTCAAAAATTATATCCATACGGATAAATGAATCAGTCTAAAAGTAAAAGGAATTCAAAAAAATAAGCGGAACCAAAAAATAAACAAATGCTTCCAAGCAGTTTCCTTCCGATAAGGCAACAGTCGTTGGAATTTTTTCAACTGTATTCTTCAGTGAGGTATCAGCTACATTGCTCATTTGGAAAGGTTATGCTTTCTGACATTCCTGGCCGCAATAAGGCTGGGCTATTTCGTATTAATGTGCTATGACTTCGATAATATTCTGTTAACAATCGGATCCAGAGGGCTCGGCTAATTGCAGTTTACGTGATTAGTCGCAATTTATTAATTTCAAACCGCTTAAGACCTTAGCATTAGCTACATTCACCCTTCCAGTTACATCACCGATAAGACGACCAGTTTTATGCGAATTACAAAATTCTTACGTTACGTATGAAAGCTGTCTAGGGATTGATGAAGCGAGTTCACAAAATTGGCACCCAAATTACTATTGTGATTGTGATAATTCTAACTAAAGTGCTGTTAGAGAAATATTTGACTTTAAAATGCGCCTTGCTTTGTTCGCGTAAGATAGTTGAAAACTGTGTGAAAATTCCAATTTTGTCTATGCGGCTACCAATGTCATATTCCTTAATTCAAAAAAACTGACCATGTCGAATGTTTTTTTTTGAGGGGAGTGGTGGTGCAGCCACAATCATCAGCAATGTGATGGACTTGAACAATTTTGTAGCGAGCCTCGGTGAGGATATGTCGGAAGATGAAATAAACTACAAGTGAGTCCATATTCATTGCTTGCTGAAAGGCAAATACTTGAAGAATACGCATGGGCTTTGCTCTAAACTCTAATTTAAGTCAGTGGTGGAAATTCAAGATACCTGGTTAACTCAAGGTTATCAAATTTTGTGCGTTAGACAGCTTTGGGTGGAATCGAAGTCATGGTACAACTTGGCAGCAGATCTTAGCCGAATTTCAAAAGAACAGTTCTGAT